TTCCCTAATCTTACACCTTGGTACAGTCCTCATCATTGCGGACTGTCGGGGCGGCTGAGCCGCGCTGCACTGTGACGCGACAGCGGCTGCGGCTCGGTGACGGCGAATCAGCTGATTTCCATGGAATTCGGCTGCGAATTCCCACTTTTTCAGCTCTTCAAGCTTCGAAAGTGGAAGGTGAGTATTTTGAACAATTTTAAATTGTACTGGCTCTGAAAGAATGCAAGCCATTTGAATAAATGCCTGAAATAAGGCAAAATACAAGGAAAAGAGCATAATAATCGACATAAAAATAAAGGAAATCAGAGCCAGTACAATTAAATTGTTCAAAATGACTCACCTTCCACTTTTCGAAGCTTGAAGAGCTGAAAAAGTGGTTCGCAGCCGAATTCCATCGAAATCAGCTGATTCGCCGTCACCGAGCCGCAGCCGCTGTCGCGTCACAGTGCAGCGCGGCTCAGCCGCCCCGACAGTCCGCAATGATGAGGACTGTACATCCCATTCTTCCATGCTCTAATAGTAGCCGACGCCGATCAACATCCATCTATGGCTGCGTTAGCATCTATAGAGTCGAAACACCCCTGCAATGGTGAAACGTGGCCACATACCTTTGGCATCGTTGTCTGCATTCGCAGAGAATACACCGCTTCCGTCACATGGAACGGCGAGATAAATAAGCTACAGATGCGTGATTATCACAACCATTGCATCACGAGGAATGCGTGCGCTCATAGCGTTGCCTGGAGCGTCGTAGAGTGATCTCGCCCTTTTTCCGAGAATTGTTACACGTTGTATCCTGCTGAATGGGCTTGCTGACGTCCGTCAAACTCGTTCAAAGCGCCCACTGCTAAGAGGATCTCTGTTCAGAGTGTTCCCAAGGCTTTTTTTCTGCTTCTTTCTCTACTGCGGAGTTTCTTATGAGCTGCTTATTCATGACTGAGCACCGTCTATCCGTAACTCTTGATCGCGGAAATTGCTTTTGAAGAAATATTTCCCCGTTAACCGAATGGGCAGAGAAATGGACGAAGACTATTGACCACTGAGCCTTTCTTAGCCATCCTCTCTAACACTGTTAAGATGAGGTTCTACTCATGAAGAAGGCACTGTTGTCATTACTCTCCGCCCTTTCAACAATCGCGGAATGTTTCTTTTATTTGATATTTGATGTGAGCCGTTTTTCAGAAAGGGGTTGGTTGGTACCCGCCTAAGATTTTTATAGCTTTTTGAACAAGTCTTAAGATACGAAGACCCTCGAAGACAAACGACTGAAAAAAGGGCTCAGTGAAAGCTTACAGAAATGTATAGTGATGAACAGCGCCTTTCGATTCTCGCCACAAACCCGTTCCACCACGAACCCGTCTCGTATACGACCTGGATCTTTTTTGAACCCCTCTCTATCCATTTGTACCCACTTGACCTCTTGTACTACAGCTCTTTGCATGAAATCGAACTGAATATGGCTCGTAGCCAGTTTCTCTTGCTGGCTTGGTTTTTCGGCGGAACAAGGGCGACATTAATCACACTCCCATGCAAGGGTCATCAACACGCTGGGCAAAAAAAATTTTACACGATGATTTGTGGGAGATCTGACAATGTGTCGTAGAGTGGTGTAAGCTAATTTCCCCAGCTAGTTGACTCGATGTACAAGCTCCTGGCACAACCTCCTTCCTCATCCTATCTGCCACTTTACTCTGACTTCCCCTACTTCCTATCACATTTTCCTGAAGAAAGTTTCCAGTTTTTCTCGAAAAATTTGCCGTCGAGCGAGGGGGTGGGGGATGCCACAAAACAACAATTTGTGTGGAACCTTGGCCACGCCACCAAGTAAGACAGGGGAGGTGTGGGGGGGGGAGTCTCAAATTCAAATACGACCCTCCTCTATGGGAATCCTAACGATGTACGGAGATAACCCGCGTGAAACAGGAAGATTCAACTGTCAAAAAAATCTTCTCAGACCATATGGGAACGCTCCCCTTTCCCGCTGGGAAACCCGGAAACGGACGTGCCTTGATTTGAGCTTAAGTCATTAGAAATTTCAAAATATTCATTGACTGTTCCAGTGCCATTGCGAAAACCATCTGAATCAGTGACGGAGACCTCTTCAAGCCAAGCACCACCTCAACAGCTCAAGGAAGTGCAGCTCATCACTGGGAATCCTCATGATGGCACCAGTGGTGGGCAAACTCCATCTGAAGAAGGCTCGTCGTCAACGAGCACTCGGACTGTAGTCGGTAACGTCAGCAATGCTGCACTTCCAGCAGTGGATGAGTTGAAGAGGGGGCCTACAAGACGTGGTTAGTACGCAAATATTTCGGGATCTATTATTTCGGGAGAGTTATTTATTCAGATGTTTTCTTAATGACTTAATAAATTTTTTATTCTTCACGAGTTTCGTGTCAGGAAACCTCCACTGGAAAAGCTTTGCTGAATTGAGATCATCTGCTTGTTTTCCCTCTCCCATGGAGAGGACATCATGTTTCAATTTCATTGTCAAAAAGTGAGAGAGGTTTAGCAAAGCGAAATAACAGATTCAGTGAAGTTACCGTGCAGCTCAATTAGTCTGACTATCTGGTTACTCGAGTAATAATTCAACATAAATAACCATCAATGAGACGACGCTACTGAAAATGGAGTTGAAAGAGTTTTCATGAGAAATTCGATTTTGGCCATAAATCGACAGTATTATGGCATAGTAGTCGCGAAGAGAAATTGGAAAAAAAGAAAATGTGGTTGAAACTGAAGTGAGCGAATCTCTTTCACGTTCCAAATTCCCATAATTTCAGGTCCACCAAAAGTCTGTTTCCGGACCATCGAAAGGCGATATCTACTCGGCGGCTCGTTTGAACAACACACAACATCATCTATCGATGAATGCAGGTACTTGTAATATTGCGCATTGGACTGGGCGCTTTCCGAACTGAACAGCGCCCTTCTATGATCAAATAGAACGATTTTCAAACAAAGCTGAACACTACACTGTCGCGGTACCTGCAAACGATAGGGCGAGTGGCGGAGGCGTAACTTGGAGCGCAGCAAGAGCAGCCTCTTCCTCCAGTCGTAGCGGGCTCAAGATGGTATTATTGGTGTGATGGGCCGCCCTGCCTACCCTCCATCCACGTTCGCCGCACGCCCTATCGTTTCCAGACAAGATGACTTTATGTGTTCCCATTAATAAATTTCATCTTGAATAGCAGAACAGTGAGTACCTTGTACAGGAACCCGGTTTTCTCCCGCATCACGATGCGAGGACCTTCTTTGGCATCTTCGGTGGCATTACTTAATCTCGGGAAACCTTTTTTTCGAAGCGTCATCTCAAGCCTCTGTTTGCGGGACCATGATAGCTCCACCTGAACACGGTGTCATAGTCGTTTTGACGCCCTCGTTTCAGGGGTCCGCGGGCAACTTGAACTTACAATTAGTCCCTTTGAAGTTAAACTGTCCACTCACTTCTGAGGACGGTCCTTTCCATGTGCGAAGTCAATGGGTCTGCACCTGCAACAGCGCCTATCTGGTCCGACTACCCGCGAAATATTTTTTTTCTTGCCACTGCATTAAAATCTAATGCGTTACCCATAGATACTTTCATGGATATGTGAATGTTTCCGAAAGGCGGAAACCGGTATTCATCGAGAATTGCCACTTTTTCGGATGTGAATTTCGCTCTAGCGCGATAAAAATCGGGAAGAGATATCGAGACTAGATATGCTATTATCGTCCCCTGTAACGAGTCGGAACATCTGAATGCTACAGGAACTATAACTTTTTTCCTCGAAACCGTAGTAGCTGTCATATGGCGGTGATGGGCAGAAACATTTCCGGACAATCAAGAAGATAAAGAATCAGGACGATTTTGGGGGCAGTTCGTCGACCGGGGGCACTTCTGCTAGTTCCCATCGACGTGTCTCCATCTAAAGAGCCATTTCGTGAGATCACAAGAGTTGGCAGGTTTTACCATGATGGCTCGACCAGCTTGCTCCAGCTTCACATGAGCTAACAGGTCCCAGTAGAGTGCGACTCGGAACCGGAACTAGTTAAGCAGCGAGAGTGAAAAATACTTCCCCCTTCCCTCGTCCCGTCGCCGAACTGCGCCCGATTTTGACCAATCCCGTTCCTGCACGCCATGCATCCTGATCCCGTTCAGAAACTTTCGCTTACTTGGACCACGAAGACTTGGCTTGGTGAGCTCTGCGGTTCCCATGGTTTGATGCTTTGTGATATCGGTTTGTAGTCGAATACATTTCTAATATCTGAACTAGGGGGGGGGAGTGGGAGGGGCGTGGCTGCGTACTTCATTCGAACATGCAAAATGGTGGAAGATGGGTTTGGTCTAATACTCCTGTGGGCCACAACCGTGAGCTCTTGTCAACATAGCAAATGCTGTAAACGGTACACACCGTACAATCGTGTCAGCACCCTGTAGGACTTGTTATCACCTGTCAAGCACCCTGTAAACCCCTGTAAAGCTTGAAAACTAGCTCCAGTTTATCAGATTATAGCACTGCATAGCACAGGAGTTTGTACGGTTCTGGACAGGAATTTGCAGGATTCACAGGGTGAGATACGATTGTACGGTATTCATTAATACGACTTAACGAAGCTTATAGAAGCACAATTGCCCAAGGGTTTAGGAATGCCCGTCCAAGCTTATAAGCGCCAACACTTTTCGTGGGATATTGTCATTACTGGCGATACTGCTTTCCTGTCTTGTGGTTTTCGAAGGCATGCTTATAGTTATCCTAAAACGGCAGTATTCCGTCAGAAGCGTAGCTGCTGCTACGTCAGATGGCCTACGCTGCCACACCCTCGTCATCTTCGGGATTTGGAGGGTCCAAGCTGTTTGATACAATAACTCTTCACGAATTATCATAAATTGGGCGCTCTACAAGAACTTCTGTCTCCACTGGTTCTCAAAATTTCTTTTTTCTTTTCTTCCACACTTCAGAAACTCGAACGCGAAAAAGAAATAATTTATTTCTCTTCAAAGGTGCCTCTGCGCGGATACATACTCCTCAGTGCGTCTACATCGATGCCAGTCACTACAATGGTATCCTAGCGGAAAGTGTGTTCTAAACAAGGGTTCTCATCTCGGAAGCTATGACCTGATCGAGGATCGAGGCTCCATTTATCAGTACATTAACTGCGATATCCAAGGTATTGATTGGTTTACCTTGGTGTACCACTCTAGTCTCAGCTTAATTCATTCCAAGCTTGAAGAACAGGAAACACATTTTTTGGAGAATATTCAGTTTTCGAACTCTTTCCCTGTCAAAAAATTGAATAATTCCAGTGCTTCTTGACATCGCTTCCAGAGTCTGCAGTTCAATGAACACATCAAACCCTCCTGGTGAACCATCCGGTGAGTTCAGCTTCGTAGCTTTGACTGAAAGGCAGGGCATATGTCGGTTAGAGGGCGGACGCTAACGCCAGCCTTGTCTCCAGAAAGGGATTTGAAAGCACTAACCAGCGCTCTGGGGGTGTATCTGAGCACCCTTCCACCACTGACACCAGGGTTGATGCGTCCCAAGCTAGTGCACCCGCTACCTTTCATAACGATTCTTTCGATGATTTCCTGAATATTTTTGCCGAAAGGGAGGTTTTCAACCTGCAAGACTTATGCACAAAACCTACAATGAAACCTCATTACAGTTCGAAGTCGATCGAAAACCACAACAGAAAAGCCAGCGTCAAAAAGACCAACGCATCACGATGAGGACTCAGGTAATCTTTACTTCTTGAGGCCTCGGGCGAAAGTGTAGCTACCTTGATGGTTCTCAGCACGGTCTCGTTCCATTCCGCATGCGGGTCTACATCGTTAGCCCCGGGAGTGGCGAAAGAGGTGTTGAAAGCGGGGCCATTTGCACAAGAGTCAAATCGATTGATTCTCTTTTTGCGTGAGGTCAACCAGCTAGGAGTTAGTCAGCTGGTCTGTACGCCCTGCCGCGTCCTGGGTCTGACGATGTGTATACGCCGCAGACTTGGCCTCTGCCTAACACTGCTTGCATGACGCGATTCACCTCTTCTGACACCACTTACTAGTCCAACTACAATCATCATTGAGGGAGGGGATCAAGGGGGGCCGCATGTTTCCCGTTTGAAGGTGGAAGCTCGTGTTTTGCTTCCTGGGAAGTGATATCGTTCTGTGTGAACAAGGGGGTGGAAAATATACGAGAATCGCTACAAGTGCCATGTCAGGTCCTCTCCTCGGAAGGGGGGGGGGGTGGTGGGAAGTGGATAAAGACTTTTTTCAAGGTAGGTTGTCGTATAGGAGGCAGTTTCTGAGGGGTAGTGGCTGTATGAGCCATTTTATATTGCCTTTGTTGGCTCTCATTGATGTGCCTTTATCGCCCACTAACGACTACTTTACATGCAAAAATATTCTCGTTCCAGAAGTACCAACTGCAGTGTGGAAGTTCCTGACGACACCAGCTAGTACAAGTCCATCTACCACCACGGAGGCAGCAGAACAGACAACAACTGAAGAAAACATCTCAACAACTTCAAAAGAAGAAAGTACTGAAGTTCCTACAACGGAAACGACAACGGCAACTACAACAGAAGTCACTGAAACTTCCACGGTGACCACGGTAGCCATTGAGGAGACACAGTCAACAGAGCGAGAAGCAGTGGAGAGTTCGACATCGACAACGGAGGAGGGACGTCGTGGAAAAACAACTGAACATTCTTCACTCAAACCTGGTAAGTAGTCTTTTGTCCGTAGTGTCCTACTATCACCTTTGTGAAGAGAAAAATTCCCGACTTACACTTTTTGCATAAGTGGTGGATGGATAGCTTCAGCTTTGCAATGAAGGACCTTTTTCAGTCAGGAACGGTTGCTTCGAAGAAATCACTGGCTATATGATGACTAACGTGGCCGGTGGTCTCGAACATGATGTTTCTATGGACGAGTGCAAATGCTTCTGTGCGAATAGCAAGTAACTTTTACAGCTCAACTCATTTCAGTTTTCAGATTCAAATCACCTTCTTATTCATTTTTGCCCAATGGGTGGCAGGGATCAGTGACCGTTCAAGCACTCCTGACCCCTATTTAGTCCATACATGGCGGATCTTTGAGATTAAGTAAAGAAGTTAGAGGAAGCTTATTAAAACCTGGGAAACTAGTCTGGGCCATTCTCGACGTATTGGTAGCAGAAATTGTTTTGTTATGATAGCTGCTGTCCGAAACTTTTTACAAGAATGCTAAGTTATGGGCAAAAGTCAGACCCTAGGCAGGAATTGAACCCGCTCCTCTCGATGTGTTGCAGGAAACGAGTTATTTATCGGGTTTCACTTCAAACCACTTAAATTTTGATGAGTGGCTCTTTGTACACAGTTGTAGACCACAACCTTTTCCTGTTCAGGACTTCTCGTCGTTACTCATTTGAATGTCTGTCAGCAACTTACTATCACGAAGAACGTGACTGCATTCTGAATCTGGACGATCGACATCGGAATCCACAACTTCTGGAGAAGCAAAGCAGTGATTATGCCGTGACTTATCTTGCAATGACCTGCGGAAAAGGTATTGTTGGCTTTTCTGTTAGTATAGAGGTGGATGGCGTGATAGGCGACAGATTTCTCGTTTTAACGGCATTTTTTTCTGGAAAAAAATTGCCCATAGTGAGAGGACCTGAAAAAAGGATAATCTCGCGGTTTTTTCCTTCCATTCACATCATCATAGCTGAACGCTATGCCTGAATAACTTGCTATGCTGGAATTCCTAACACTTCTGTAAAAACCCCGAGGATCTACCGTATCGCTTTTAGGCAAGGGCTTTGTTTTTTACGCCAAAATTTTTGGTGTCGGAAGGGAGCATGGCGCCGCTTTCTAGTTCCTTGACTTCCAGAGGTTCCTTGAACTAATCCTTGCCCGGTTTCACCTTGGTGAGACCTGCATACTACTGCAAATGTAAACGAAGCTCGTGTTATTTACATGAGTAAAGGTCACGGGATGCATTAGCAGTGATCGATGAGAACGAAGAAAATGCCCCTTCCCCACCAGGCCAAACTGCGCCAATTATTCTGCATATTCGGTTCACTTACCTATCTATTACATACCCTATCCTAAAGATGGAGAGTGCGTGGCTGCGTACTTCATGCAAATCTGGCGGCAGCTGCGCCCTTGGAGAGATATTGCAATTTCAGAACACTTGCAACCATAACTTTGTGCAGCACAAGAAAGGGCAGCGTAAAAAATGGAACTATCTCGCGAATGAAGCATCCTACGCCATGTTCAAGTAAAGTACGCTGCCACGCCCGCTCCATCGCTGGGATGCGCAGTTGCATAGCCTCACAAGGAAAAAACTGTCTCTGATCTTTTTTTTATTTCTCTTTATTCTTCTTTTATGCCTTCTTCTGATCCTTTCCTTTTTCTGCTTGTTCTTTTCCTGTATATTTTCTAAGAATTAGTCCTAGTTGAACATATCATATGCAAGCGTCAAATCAAGTAGGTCCAGAAATTGGGGCGTGTTGTTCTTGGTGGGGAGTCACATGCAAGTGAGTTTCGAGATGAAGCCAGCGTTTTGAAGCAGCCTTATACGTATTTTACAACTACAAAACAACCTACAAGTTCGATTTTTCTCTGGTTAGATTTTTACGACTTTTCACATCATCATTTGTGGCATTCGTACATTGAATGGACAACTGAGTCATCTCCATAGCAGAAAGATTGCTGTTAGCCGGAAAAGGAGGTTACTCCGAAGAAATTGTTCGTTTTTTCTGGGCCTAGAATGGCTTGAGGTGCAGGGGGTAGTTGAAAGAAGGGGGTCCAGGAAGGTAGATGGATGACGGTAATTCAGCACACATTAACTCTGATCCCCATTGCCGTTCTTCCTTTGCTGGGAGTTGTCAAAAGTCTCATTGTCTTGTGTAGTAATCTCCCGTTTCATCAGGTGCGCCTTTTCCATATCAAACAGTTATTCACTTGAGGTTGATATTTAGCTGTTATGGTCCATACTGTCCGTTTTGAGTAGAAGAAGCTTGAGTAGCCCTACTCTAAGCAGCGAGTTATGTGAACATTTCGCGCATCCTTAATGAACTAGTCTTCGCTAGAATCTTTTCAGCCTGACTATTAACTTCTATCCCCTTTTCGAAAGCACTGGTATGTGAAGGAGTGAGGATTTAGAGACTTTGTATGACCACAACAGATAATCCTGCCCATATGTTTTCGATCTAGTTTTCACGAAACTGGTTTCTCGAAGCGTGCTGAAAGCGAATTGTCGCGGACGTCCGGTGACCTTCACGTGGGAGGATGGTCGAATGGATACTTATTAAGGAGTTTCAGACAGTTGAGATGAAAGGCCCTTTCCGGTTTGATGCGCTCGCCATTTGACTCATGAATCGACGCGAAGAAAATAGGGGAAGTGGTAGCTTATGGAAAATTTTGATTTCTGGTCCACATAAGAGCTTTGCAAATAAAGACTATTCCATAAGGGATAGTGGGTAACACGACCATATCACACTAATCCCTTTATGCAGAACACATAGGTGAAGGTACAGAAATTTTTTTTTGCATTTGATGTTTGTTTACTGTGGTGCTAAAATCAAATGATTGAATCTACCGTATTACACCGTACGCCTCGCGGCTGAGTCTGGGCCTTTGAAATTACACGCAAAACGTGGTCATTCAGAGGAGACGAATGCGTCACTAGTTGAAGCATCTTTCAACGGCAACTGTCAGCGTGTCACTCCAGCACCAACAACGACGACATCGGCACCGAAGAAGCGAAAAATGGGTGGTAAGCGCTATGAATATCTTACTTGATTTTTGTTTTAATAATGCTATTTCTTAACTGATCCATCGTTATTTTCGTAACAATTTTCCTTTCACAGTCGCCGCCTTAACATCGTTGTCGTGTTCAAAACCTCACGACTCACCTAGTCCTCTGATATAGCATTGCAACATTGTGGTCGCAGTCCTGAAGAATCTTAGATGCCAAGAAATTCGTATTTTTGACCGTTCCTGAAAGACCTTGAGATTTTCGCGAATGATTCTTCTTTTTACGCATGGAATTGGCTAGATGAAATTATCCGGCTATTGAACCATGACATACACTGAAGTATGGAGGAAGGAAACTTGCCTCGGGCCTATGAGCTAGAACTCGGGTTCAGACTTAGAACTCGGGTTCAGAC